TGAATAGCTTCAATTCATACAGTACAAAATTCTCTATCCGTCATTGGATTCAACGACACACTAGAATGAATATTCATTGAGAATGGAGTTACCAAAAAAACTATGACATGAAAACAGACAAATTTGATCATGCTGAAAAAATATGAAAAAAATATACACATTGGATAATTGTAGATCAAATATGATTTAAACAGCTGGCATGAATAATAAATTTTCTGTAAAAAAATTAAAATGAAAACCGTACAAAGGATATCCAATACTCCGCGCGATATTGAACAAAACTTGATGAAAGGATGATGGATATTTTTCTCATTCAGCTAGAAGTATATCCCCGATGAATATGAAATCTGCCATTAAATACTGACTGGCTCGACGTCAGCTGTTTTCGATTTCCATTTTTCTCAGATTACTCATTTCTGCCATTGACGCTGATAGGCGTCCCGAAGTTTTCTTCAGGGAACGTGTTCGATTGCGTCAATCTCGGTGGTTTCCTGTACAAATTGAACAATTACGGAATACCATAGGGTGGAAAATTGAGTTCTATATCAGCACAATTACGCACTAGATGGAATTGAACAATTCCAGGAATTAATCATAGTACACGTTTCGACTGATTTTTTCATGGAGAAATGTCAACCCGATTGATTGTTGTTAAGTTATGCGCTGGAATTGACAGCTAGTCAATAGTGATGAATTATTACTGGAGTTTTTTCCAACACCAAATCGTTATTTTTACACCTCGACACGTGTTTCGATCACCAAGTGATCATCTTCAAGAGGAAGCAGTTTTATCTTTCTCTTGAAGATGATCACTTGGTGATCGAAACACGTGTCGAGGTGTAAAAATGACGATTTGGTGTTGGAAAAAACTCCACTAATATTCATTACTACACCAAAGGTTCCAAACAGTATATCACAAGTGATGATGATGATAATAATAATTGTCTTCATGATTTTCAACAATCAATGAGCCATAAAAAAAGATTACTCAACTTACTGAAAATAAAGGCAAAGTTCAGTTCCATCAGAGATGAATATCTGATTGACCTGTACTACCAACTAATTTTAATGGAAATTCATAACCTTTTCAAGTAAAACTTCATTGTGGGGTTTTCACTAAACAGATTACAAAATTGCTATACGCGTTTCAATTTACGAAAATAATGGTTTCCTCAGACGTGCTCATAGGTGATGAATACACCAAGGGAAGGTATTGTATAATGAAACACGTGTTCCAGTTTTGTCTACTGTTCAGTGAAAAACTAACAAGAAAGTGTTATTGATAAAAAAAGATCTACTGTTTTTGAATGGGCAGTTCAGGTCAGAGATGATTTTGTAGGTTCTTCACATATGGAATGTTCAATAATAACATGCTAATGATCAAAGTGGTTATATAGAAATGTAGGCTTTCACGGCTGGCGTCAATGTTTTGGTTGGTTTCGTAGTTTTGCCGCGGTCTTCTTTGGTTACAATCTCCAAGCTTTCAAACTGCTACTGCGGCAGTCATTTTCAGTGGCATGGTTCTAGACGTATCGATTAAAACTGATGCTCTCATTTCTGCCATGTCATTTATAGTGCTGATTTTTCGCGTACTTTCTGTAATAGCGGGTTCGCGTGTAGATACTTCCTGCGCGATTTGGGTGATATGACTTCGTTTTGGCACCTTTCAATGGTGTGTGCCAGATCTTTGATAGATATGTTCTCTCTTTCTTTCTATTGAAGTTGTTTTGGTGTTTGTGTATTTCTATAGTTTCTGGATAGAGAGGCTAGCAATGTCTATTCGACGTTGCTAGCCTCCCGGTGGAAGGCTAGCAATTCGCCATAACAGGAAGTGCGCGAAAAATCAGCACTATAAATGACACGACAGAAATGAGAGCTTCAGTTTCAGTCGATAAGTCAAGAAGAGTACTTCGACCACGCTACTGAAGATGACTGCTACAGTTGCAGTTGAAACGTTTGAAGATTGTTACCAAAGAAGACCACGGCAAAAACAAACCAAAACGAGGTGGTTATATTTGTTTCACATAGAGAATGAAAAAAGTAAAAAAAAATATATATGTATTTTATAATAAAATGTTTTACCACTTTATTTTTAATAGTAAAATTGCACTGAATCATTTCACCGATGATGATACGATACTGATTTTAATTAAAATAAAAAAAAAATATTTTGAATAGGTTGACACCCTCAAGAACGCGACGTCAATACCCAAAATTCACCAGTTATCGAGATATATTGTCAACAGCTTTCCATTACTGAAAACCATGGAAAATTTGATTTTGGAAGTTCAATGAATTTATATAAATTTTTCTATTCCGTGATAAAAAAAAATAAAGTTGCTTGAGTTGACACTTCTTTCAAAATTATTATTTCAATCAATATAGCTGATGAGCAATATCGTTGTATCATACCAAATACTCCATTTCAGTATTCATTGAGCTGTAATGTAGTGCAGAAAGGCCACATAATTTTATTTCGACTGAAAACTGTAAATTTTAAAAATGAAGTGGTAATAAAATTCAATATTTTGAGACTTGAATTGAAATTTTGAGTGGCCCTACTGCCCTTCCGTAGTAATGTTCGTCTTGTATATAAGTTTGATTTGAATTTCACAATAAAAAAATAATACGAGGTGTTAGTTTCTTTCATAATAAATGTGGTACAGTGTCAAGAGAATCAATAGCTATTGGCTGTATTTCAAAATAATATTTAATTTAGCATCAACCTGTTTCGCACTTGATATTCCGAAACCTGCTCACATCATATGTTGGGAGCAACCGATTTAAAATTAACGAAGGTCACGATTTCGTTTGCAGCCTTCTCGGAATACGTTTAATTGGATGGAATTTATAGTAGCATTTGAATGGAAAAGCTATCGTTTTGTGCTGTTTAGTGCACTTTATTATCAAGTGGTTGACTGAAATTCATGAAAAATGAATCGTTCTATGATTTTTCGACACGCCAAAATCGAATTCTGACATCATAACTGCCATAATAGTTCGAAATTATGAAATATTCAACTTACATGAATCATGAGGTACTTTAGTAAATTTCAATACATATACGTATATTTTATATTTCATTACATGACACAATCATAGTAGTGGTGAGGTTATTATTAATGTAACCAAAATGCCCTGCAGATGTTATTTTGACATTCTTTGGTATATTTCGATTTCTTTGACAAATCTCATCGAGGAATTGAGTTGTTTGATTCTTTCATCTGAATATTCAAATAGTTTTTTCTCACCACAAAACCTTGTGATCTGACGTGTTCAAGTATATGTTCAAAGAGTTCAACACAAAATTAAAAATTTTCTATTGGTTTTCTGAAGTTAATTTGTTCCAAAAATGTTCTCTCAAAGTCATGAAACCCTTACTCAAAATTATGCGACCAATAACTTTGAAAGGTATGAACTTCATACAAAAACACACCCCAACTTACAATTTTCCAGAAACTTCAGACTCACAATAATTCAACCCCTAACTTCATAATACTCAAATTCAAGAAACTGTAATTAACATTCTTTGGAAGATTCCCACATTTTTTTGTATCAAGATGGAGTAGTAGAAAGCCAAAAACTTTCTTTCCCAAAAATTAATCACTCCTAAAAATAAAACCCCTTCAATTCAAATGTAATTAACAATTCTCATTCTCACCACCATTGTAGCTGAGAAGCACATACACTAACAATATCCTTTTCAACAACCACAAATCCTAGATCATCAATACATCCCCAAAGCTCTGAGCTTGAGCTCTGAAACCGAATATTTTGAAACCAAGTTAGGCGGGTATCGCAGAAAACAAATTCGTTCTCAGAGCCTTCTCTGTTTGTGGATAACCCGGTAATCGCTCACCGGGGCTACAATGTTACAATATTTATGACCATTTGCATTTCCTCAACCTAGATATTTCAATACTGAAAAGGAAGCAGCAGGTTTTGTGTTGGTTTGTTCAAGGAACTTATTGTTTTTATCACAAAATTGGTCAATTTCGAATTAAAAACAGACGAATAATCGCCTGATTGACTTAGTATTCTATTCGTTCTATGACTTGGTAGGGTGAAAGAGAGGGGTAGCTTGACGTAAGGAAAACTTCCTCATTGACAGATTCATTACCCATTCGTAATAATTTACAACGAAACAGTGGCAAAAATTGAACATTCATTTTTGAAACTGGCTCCACCATAACATCTTATTGAACTAGAACTAGATGATGCTTCAAGTAACTTGCTCTAGCATGAGTTATTCAGGAAAGCTTTCCGAAAACATGAAAAACTATTTTTCCAAATAAGAAACAATGTCAATGTTGGTTTCCGGATTTTGCCATGGTCTTCTCCAAACGTTTCGACTGGAACTACGGCAGTCATCATCAGAGGTATGGTCGAACACTCTTCTTAACGTGTCAACTGAAACCAACAGTGAATTGCTAAAGATGACTGCTACAGGTAGAGTCGAAACGTTTAGAGATTATAACCAAACAAGACCACGGCAAAACCCACAATTCAACCAAAACCTTTAATGTTTTTTTTTCAAACACCAGCAAGTTAGTTGAAGTAGATTTTTTCTGGCAGGATCCATGTTGATTATCTATCAGATGCTCTTAATAATAGAAATTAGTTTGGTTACTCACCAATCTATCCAATATTTCAGGAAGGGATCTTTGATTACATACACTACGGTATGTTTTCATATATTGTTTGTTTTTTGTTGAATAGTTATTGTTTTAGTATTAATAATTCAGATAAAATTTTGTTATTTCAAATACGTATGACAGTTATCAAAAGCATCATTATATATTCAAGTATTTATTTGTCAAAATATGCCAGTTTACTTGAAAATGATTTAACAAACTGAAACCGATCGTAACATATAAAAATACCAGTAGAAATCATACAAAAGCTATTTTCTTCATCGTATATTCATTTGACAATATCAGTTGAAGTTTCCAGATTAAACATACCAGCACCTAAATTAGACAAACAAAGTTAACTCACCCTTATTCATCTTCCTTATGCGCTGCTTCGTACGGTGGCGGATCCTCTTCCGTTATCAATTTGAGTCGAACAATATCCGAGGCGGAATCGTAAACAACCCCAACCGCCGGTACAATTATGTTTTCCATTTCCACACTGTCCGTTTTCAGCGGCGGCGGTGTCGGTTTCCTTTCTCTAATGGAAACGGCTCGATGAATCCCGGAAGAGGGAAGCAGCGATTCCTGTGCAGTCTCGTTGTTCCCGTTGCAAGTCCGCTCCGATCTCCAGTTCTCGAACCGACACGCCGATGGCAATCTTCCGGCCGCAGATCCATCAAAACACGGAAGGACCTGCTTGAACTCCTTCCGGAAATTTTCATTCAGCCAAGCGTACAAGAAAGGGTTGTAGCAAGTGGAGGACATGGCTATTGCGTGAGTGATGAAAAACGTTAGGTGGTAAAATGCCCAGTCTTGCATTTGTAAGTAAAAGTCGTTTACGATATTTATAGAGTTCAAGGGCAGCCATGATATCAAGAAAACAGCGACCATTGCTATCAGCATCCTGTTAGTTCTTCGCTTTCTTTCCCGATCTGCTTCTTCTTTTCGGGCATTTTTGGAACCAGGCTTGGACCTAGCTCGATCGTTCAGTTTTATCGATACACAGATGTAGCAGAAAGCCATAATCAAAAACGGGATGAGGAACTGCATCGCTGTGGTGATACCACCAAAAGTTTTTCTCCAATCTTCGCTAGGCCAGGTTTCTTCGCAGAAAAACTTGTCAGTGTAGGACTCGGTTTTGAGTTTGACGTATACTCCATATGGCAACGTGACCAGCATCGAAAACATCCAGATTATAACTATTATTATGATACATGTAGACAGTTTCATCCTCGGGTGGAAAGGGTAAATTATCACAAAATATCTATCGATGGCAATTGACGTCAGAGTAAGCGTAGAAATATAGACACTGATCCCTTGAGCGTAAGACACTAAATGACAGATGAGCCTACCGAAAATCCACTCTCCCAAAAAGGTGTACAGAGGGGTGAAGGGCACAGCTAGTACACACAGCAGTATATCCGATAACGCTAAATTTGTTATGAATAAGTTAGTCACTGTTTGCATGGCTCTGTTCCTGAAGACGACGTAGCACACTAACACGTTGCCGAAAATTCCGAGTACAAAAATTGTCGTATACACCATGAAAAAAGCCACTTGCACTATATTCTCGTTTATTATGTTTTCCACAGTGGTATTGTTTGAGAAACTCATGTTCATTTCTATTGTCGTTTTTCTGGGACACTACATGCAGTCGGCCATCGTTGAATGATTTGTGGTACCCAGACTATCCGCCAATTTTAACACCTGCGAACAAAAACAGTTCATTAGTATCAATTTGAACAATCAACTCTCAACGATACGATATCATTGAAACACTGGTGAAGTAACTAAACCGTTCGCATATTTATTACTTCGGGAGATGAATATATTTTTGTATTTCAAAAACTGTTTTCCTGCCAAATTTTGTGTCGTTAAGTTTGAACGTGGTTTTACTGGACATATTCTTCGAAAATTTTTATAACTCAGACCTATTTCATGGAAATAGTTTTTACTCATGTACTATGCTATACAGGGTATTTCTTCTCAAATGTATATTTCGAAATGGAATATTGAAAAAAATAGTTATGATATACTGACGTACTTTCAGTTACCAACAATCAATGAAATTTTAAATTCTATTGGGCATGAAATCAGTTTTTACCGAAATACATAAAAGACATCAAATATAGCAAAAATGTCAAAATGCTCAAAAAGTGAAAATGTATAAATCATTATAGGATGAAGTCTGAAAGTTACTTCTAAACATCTTTGTGAACAGTTTATTTCGAAATGATTTGCTTTTTTTCTTTCTTCACAGGTCAAATGTTACATCATCAAAAAAATTAACATATTGAAATAATCGTTGATGCATATTGATGCGTATAATTCGTTAAAATGCAATTGAATATGAAAATTGAGCGTCTATTTTGACAGATCTGAATTGTTATTGAATATTCCAATGTTCACACGATATTATCCATAGCCAACTTACATTTATTCGAGTGAATTTCTCCTCAACATAGAGCTGAAAATTGAACGTATTTATTTCCACAAACATCTTGAATTTCAGATATAGAGAATATGTGAAAGTAACTTTTATTCAATTTCGTTGAAATAATGAGAATGTATGAGTTACTCATGGGAAAAATGACTCATGGTCAATTTTTGAATATCAATATTCTGTATATTGTTTTTGTAAATAACCTGCAGGAAAAAATTGATGAATTTGGAATATCGATCGGTCAGTATAGGTAAACCTTTTACCGGAAGTGACATGAGAGAAAAAAAAAAGTATACAAATGAGAAATATGTTGGAATGAAGAAATTCTTAGAAATGTATTTTTACATCAAATATTAAAATATCCGGAAACTACAAGATAGGTAAAAAAGTATGTGGTATAGAATATGTATATCATTTTATGTCGAACTCATGAGAGTTATTTAAAGTTGTTACATTTTTATTGTGTGAATTCATTGAATTTATACAGAATTTCCAGATCAATAAAAAAATTCAACATTCACTATGGTGGTTTCAGGTCATATCACAAACTGGACCACCGAACATTTGATAACAATAAACGAAAATGAAGAATAGGTTTTTCCGGCGACTTCAACACTTCTAAGAAAAGAAAGATGAGATTTTTTTGTGATGAATTTTCATATGAGTGAAAACAAATTTGAAATTCATTCTATTGCTCTGTTAATATTTCAATAAATATTAAGAAAAATACTCTCACCTGGAGTAGGTAGAGTTTCTACTCGGATATGCCTAAATTTCCCAGGATTTTTTTAATGAAAAAAAGTATGAAAAAATACGACCCTTCAGCATTAAATAGTATCCGGAATTGTATTGAGTTCCAAATGAGCATTGTGATCAGGAACTACTGCTGTGAAATAATTTCAAGCTAATTTCTATAGTTAAAATAGCAAGCTTGAAAAACTTGCAGAAGAAATGTGTCAGTTCCGAAAAAGCCATCAGCTCCTGTATTCAATCAGGACAATGAGGATTTGTTTTTAATCAGATATCTGCACTTGGGTATGCGTAAACTTATTGCTTTGATAAATCAAAGCTTATTTCCTCGCGAACACTATCATAACACTTATGACTTCTTTTTGTTCCTGAAGTATTTTGTAATAAGTAATGGGAACTTAGACATACATCTTTGGTAAGGGTGAAAATCCAAGATTGCCTTTCCAAATATTGAATTATTATGGATATTACTTTGGTGTTTCTTCACATCTAGATATATCTTAGTTTGATTTGATATGTTCTTCGAGGTGACGGTTTCTTATGTGAAATAAAGTGTCTCACTTCTTATGGAAACACCCCCGTATATTCCGTAATATTCGAGGTAGAACGATGAAACCCTCAGGACTGATGGAAATGCTCAAAATGCACCTACCACCTGAATGGGGTTGGCCAAAGTGATATACACTGTCCGCCACTCGCGATGGAACACCCCATTTTCACGGTAAAACATATTAGGGGGCAAAATAGGCTCAAAATTCCTTCAGATTCGTGATCAGGACTACCAACTCACTACGAATACACTTTTTTCCTGAAAAAATTTCAGTCGTGAAAAATCCGAATTTGTCTCACTTCTTATGGAAACACTCCCGTATCTTCCGTAATATTCGAGGTGGAACGATGGAACTCTCAGTACTGATGAAAATGCTCAAAATGCACCTACCACCTGAATGGGGTTGGCCAAAGTAATATACACTGTCCGCCACTCGCGATGGAACACCCCATTTTTAGGTAAAACATATTACGGCGCAAAATAGTTCGCTTCCAATACCTGAACCCCTTCATTCTATCTGGAGAGTACTCTCAGGTATGAAAAATATAGATGCTGTGAGATGCTATCATCCATTTTGAGCCTATCTGAGGAAAATGTCACAGCACAACATTCTCAGATTATCGAGATGTTGTGAAGCAGTGTATGAAAAATTACCGATGGCGGCATCTATTATAACTGAAGAAGATTATTCGCAAAACGAATTCTGGTTGCTGAACATCCAAATTCTATCCCAACCAGAAGTAAGAGGTCTCGATTGATGAGCAAAAACTGCAAAAAATGGAAAGAATCTATATTCAAAGGTTCACATTTCGAAAACTGTACAATTCTAAGCTTTGGCTGTAGACACTTTCAATCAGCACATCAAGAACTACAACATATCAAACTTTCGACAAAATTCAAGGCAAGCCATTTCTCATAAGAAATGTGCGGAAACATTTTACCATCCGAAACAAAATCAATCTTCATACTCATTGCAACATCGAAACAACTGTTAATTTTTAAAGAAAAAATCGCACTCGGTGAACAGGTAGGATTTAGATTATTTCACCTACTTGCTGAATTATTGTTTGAAATCATTTGAAGGGATTGAATTACATCAGTTTCATTGAATCATGCGGTGCCCTGAAATCACCATGGAAAACAGTTGCTCATTGATATTTACTGTCAACCTGACAATATTGTTGAAAGATCTTGTTGTATTAACCCCCAGACCAGTTTTATTGCATTTGTTATTTCTAGTATTGTTGTTCTTTGAATCACCGTTGTTTCTGCCGTGTTTTTGTTCCCATTGTGTTTATTGCTCCTGTATTTGTGTTGGATATTGTTCCTGTGTTCTAGTTGTTTCCTGTTCGTGAGTTCCTGTTCATATTTTAATATTTCTGAAGTTCCCATTTCAACTGATATCAGCTCAGATCATTTTGATTGACAAAGTTCAACATGGCACGTCTGTCACTTCAAGCAAAAATTGAAATTGTTTTAATTGTTGGTGAAGAGGTGAGGTCTTATCGTGAAACGGCCGCTGAATTTAATAGAAGACACCCGCTAGAGGTAGCTGTACACTCTGGAACTGTACATAAAATATATAATACATTCGTGAGCACCGACCAAGTCACAAAGGACAAAAAAATTGTAAAGCATCATATTGATGATGATACGATATTGGCGGCTCATCAAGCTGATCATAGAATTAGTTTGAGAAACTTATCGCTTCAACTCAATATGATCCGCAGTAAAATATGGAGGTGTTTAAAGAGGCATAAAATGCATGCGTTCAAACCCAAATTTTTACATACTTTGCACGAAGGAGATGAAATCCGCCGTATGGAGTATTGTTTATGGATGCAGGGAAATTATCTCAATGACAGAGATTTTTTAAAGTACATTCTTGTACAGTGATGAGGCTACCTTTACCACGAATGGTGTTGTATCTTCCCAGAACATGAGGTTTTGGGCTGAACAAAATCTAAATTGGATGGTGAATTGTGGAGACCAAATATGTCAGAAAGATAATGTGTGGTGTGGTATCCTGAACGAAAATATTATCGGGTCATTTTTTTTCGACCAAAATTCAAACGGACGACTATTCGTTGATTTTTTCGAAAATGCATTTTCCGATGTGTTGGAAGAACTACCTTTGGATGTGAGACACAGCATGATTTTTCAGTTCGATGGTTCACCAGTTCAAAATAGTGGCTTAACAAGGGTTCGGTTGAACTCTTCCTCTTCTGCCCCTAGAATTGAGAGAGAGCAGAAGTCCAAATATCTTCAAATACAAATTAAAGAAAGTACTCCCTCCGTGAATTCGAACCTTTTTATCGTAAGTGACTTTCAGTACTGATCTTCTCATATTTCTTCATATCTTGCTTTATCTTTGTGTGATTTTTCACAGGCGGTGAAGTATGCATCACTGAAATACCCGATTCAAATTCGGTTTTTGACTCGATGTTTCATAATATTCAAGAATGTAATTATGTTTTTTAAACCATTATTTATGTATGTCATTTTATTTGTATATATTCATCAGACACAATTTAATTTGTGAACTTGGACTAATCCGATCTATTTCTTGTTATTAGGATATGGATACAATAAATTTGAATTTGAATAGGAATCTACCTATGAAATGGATAGGACCCAATAGCCCTCTCGTAGTATGGCCACCACGATCCCCAGATTTAACGCCACTGGATTTTTATTTATGGGGAAACTTAAAAAATGAAGTTTATGAGGATAGGCCAACAAATAAGGAAGATCTCCGTGCAAGAATTATACAAGCGTGTAGAAAAATCACACCTAGAGAACTGAGAAGAGTTGACGGAAATAATAGAAGGCACATAGAAAAATGTGTTCGATTGGAGGGAAATTTCATAGAAGGCACGAAAATATAAAATTGTCAACAGTTAAATCATTTGAAATTGATTGTTTTGTTTTTTAATTGAAAATGTGATTTTGAAAGTAGTACTTGGAAAGAATTTTGAACTACATAACATTTTTCGCCACAAAATATCCTTTTTTTTTATTTAAATAATGGGAAAATGAGAATATGAACTAACATTAACCATCCTAAAACCGCAGTGATTACATGTTACTGTTACTCTTACAAAATTACCATTTTCTCTCTTATTGAGAAGGAATAACTTTCCTGACAACAAAATAAAAAATTATAAGAGGGTATTTACAGAAAGTTCACAGAAACATTGAAATAGGAAGATATTTAATTGAATGGATTTTCGGTTTATAATAACACAACAATACATTGAAATTATTTCACAACGCGGAGACAATTCGTAGGCCGTAATTGTGTCAACTGTAACTAACTGTCCTTCGATAGATGTCTGGTTTTTCGGAATTGGCAGCCACCTGCTAGGGCACGGCAGGGTCGGCCCAAGGATGAGTAAAAGGGATTTGTTATAGTCTCCCCCCCTGGTCTCGAACTCGCCTCGAGGAGGGACCAGTTCTATTGGCTGTATTCTTCTTCTTCTTTGGGGCTCCCCCCCTTTTTCTTAAACCAAGTACCGGTTTCTCAACCTCGCTGGCTTTTGCATGGGTGAGAGATGAGACATGGTAAACTCCCAACGGTGTTGTTTGATTATCGGGATAGGCAACCTCGTAACTGACTGTGGATACTTGCCTCAGTTTTTCAAATGACATCTGGTATTCGGGAGTCCACCGCCACATTGCCTTCTTTTTCGTTAAATCGCTGAGCAGGCAAGATACTTCTGCGAAATTTTCTACAAATCGCCTATACCAGCTAGCAGTTTGAAGGAAGGATTGCACTTCTTTCACGTTCCGTGGTGGTAAACGTTCACTTATCGCCGAAGTCTTCTCGGGATCAACCGAAATACCATCTGGAGTAATGTAATGTCCAATGTATTTTACTTTGGCACTCACACTTCTTACAGTTGACGCGAAGTTTGAATTGTTCAAGTCTACCGAACACGAGCTTCAAGTCATTTAGGTGTTCTTCAAATGTACTGAAAAAAACAATTAAATCGTCCAAATAACTGAGAATCACGACACTGCCGAGACCACGTCGAAACTGGTCCATTAATCGTTGAAATGTTCCAGGAGCTCCTTTCAAACCGAACGGCATAAAAAAAAAACGATATGTCCCGAAGGGCGTAACGAAAGCAGTCTTATCTTTGTCACGATCAATAACTCTCACTTGATGATAACCCGATCGTTATTCAATCGTGGTCATGTAGAATGTTCTTTTAGCTACATGGAGTAAATCGTCCATTCGCGGAATCGGATAAGAGTCACTTGTTGTTATGGCATTCAGCCGTTGATAGTCTACGCACAGTCGAATTCCACCATCTTTCTTAGGAACGAGTACAACCGGTGCGGCCCACGGACTTTCGCACCCTTCTATTATGCCATCAGCTAACAGTCGATCCGACTCGGTTTTCAGTAATGACTTCTTAGCTGGGGACATTCGATACGGAGGTGAGGCAATCGGAGGGTGATCGACAGTGTTGATGTGGTGCTGTGCACAGGGAGTCGGTTCTCCCCCCAGACTGAATATATTCTCGTGCTGATTCAGAAAGAGTTGGAGTCGAGAACGTTGATCATCTGTAAGCATGGTTCCTTCTTCCGGACGCAAGTTATCAGCCTTTCTAGTTTCGGAAGTCGAGTAGGAAGCGAGATCGGAAGAATTGGTGGCAGATTCGAGCATCAATTCGTAACGAACCGATTGGTTTCCTGAGAAGTACCACTGCTTATTATGAGCATCTAGGATAAGTTTCGCATCCTGTATGAAATCTATTCCAAAGAGAGTTTTATTAGGCGCATCTGGGAAGATGATGAATTTGGTAGGTATATTCTTGCCTTTGACTTTCACATCAACACAGGTTACAAGGACATTCTCCATTTTACATACATTGGCCTTAGCGTTTCAAAATATCATATAAGGCCTTACCAGCAACACTCTGTTTTGCCGCTGTGTCTATGAGACCTTGACCGTGATGTCCTAAAATTTCTACATGAATAATTGGTCTTGAACGAGGAGCAATCAGCGTGTCGATGCTGAAAAATTCTATTGCATGAAGGGCAATTAGTACGAATGAATCCTATCATACCGCATCCATAGCACGATAATGGAGAACTGGTATTACTCCGAGAAGTACTACCTGATGTAGGATTGGATGAACTAAATCGAGCGGTGTTCGAGTCACAGGTATTATTCTGCTCACGGGCAGATGTTTAAGGTTTTCCGTTGTCCTGAGAAGTTCCGCCGTGCCATAGGTGTGGCCTATGTTTTTACAGTATTGGCAGCGAATGCGTCTTTGAGTATCTTTAATGTCTTTCGTCACGACATTGTCAATACGGTCGAAAGTTTCTTCAATCAACCTTGAGTTTGCCAAAAGTTCACTAAAAGTTTTTACTTTATCACGTGGAACTTTCTCTCTAATTCTACGATTCAATAACCCATAAATCATATCCAATTGAACCTCTTCTGTAAGAGTTCCAGAAGGAAGCTGTGCTAGTATTGAACGCAGTTTACAAATAAAAATGTCTATTGGAGTATTTAGGTCTTGCTCGGTAGCGAATAGTTCACGATAGACTCTATATGGTGGTTTTTGTGGACCGAATGTGGTCAATAGAGCTAGCGCATCGTCAAATGTTTGCACTGTAGTTTTTACGCCTTGATACCACTTTGCCGCGAACCCATCGAATAACATCGGAAGTCCTTTGAGAGCATTTGCGTCGGATACTCGAGCACAATCTTCATATATACAAACAGCATCAATGAAAGCATTCACGTCAGAGTCTTTAGAACCGTCAAAACGTGATAAGCACTTCGAAAAATTACCGCCAGTAGTAACACCCTGTGTAGTGTTACCTGCCAGTGATATTCGCGACATGAGTTCCGCGAATTGTTCGTTAGTCAAAACTACGTTTGCCATAGTATTTTGTTTTTGAGTACGGTCCTGACGTTCAACCACACTAAATTGTTCACATGAACGTAAAAAATACGGGTGACCACCCTGTTGATCCGTGATTGTACTTAGTTTTCACAAAGTTCAGCGAGTCAAAAGTATAAAGCGTACTTAGTTTTTTCCGCTACGATGAATACTATACCAAATTCCAGTTTATTGCATCTCTGTTTTCGCTTGGAAGTCCAGAATTACAAATCACCAAATGGGATTTTGAAGCACACACTAATATTTTAAATATTCGAACAGACGAACTGAATGAACAATAAACGAGTCACCAGAGTTCTTAGAATTGAAATCCAGAAGCAAAGACGAGCACGTTGGTCGTTTCAAATTGGTTAATGTCCATCAATCGGTGAAACCGGGAACAAAGAAACAATTCTGTATTTGTCACACACGGCACGAAATAAAACCAGTAAAAAATCCCCTAAGAATCTTACAACTTTTTCAAATATTCTGGCCACTAGTTGGAGCGCCACTATAAAAGGGTATTTATAGAAAGTTCACAGAAACATTGAAACAGGAAGATATTTAATTAAATGGATTTTCGGTTTATAATAACACAACAATACATTGAAATTATTTCAAAACGCGTAGACAATTCGTAGGCCGTAAGTGTGTCAACTGTAACTAACTGTCCTTCGATAGATGTCTGGTTTTTCAGAATTGGCAGCCACCTGTTAGGGCACGGCAGGGTCGGCCAAAGGATGAGTAAAAGGGATTTGTTATAAAATAAATTATTCATGTGAAAACAAAAGTAGAGTTTCTCTTAAACAATTTCGCTCATGTTTTGATGTCAAAACCAAAAAAAATTTACTTCAATTATTACGGAAGATACGAGGGTGTTTCCATGAGAAATGAAACAAATTCGTATTTTTCAGGACTGAAATTTTTTCAGGAAAAACGTGTAATCGTAGTAAGTTGGTAGTCCTGATCACGAATCTGAAGGAATTTTGAGCCTATTTTGCCCCCTAATATGTTTTACCGTAAAAATGGGGTGTCCCATCGCGAGTGGCGGACAATGTATATCACTTTGGCCAACCCCATTCAGGTGGTAGGTGCATTTTGAGCATTTTCATCAGTCCTGAGAGTTTTATCGTTCTCTCTAAAATATTACGGAAGATACGGGGTTTTTTCCATGAGAAGTGAGACACACTGTATGTTGCATTCAATTATTACGGAAGATACGAGGGTGTTTCCATGAGAAGTGAAACAAATTCGTATTTTTCAGGACTGAAATTTTTTCAGGAAAAACGTGTAATTGTAGTAAGTTGGTAGTTCTGATCACGAATCTGAAGGAATTTTGAGCCTATTTTGCCCCCTAATATGTTTTACCGTAAAAATGGGGTGTCCCATCGGGAGTGGCGGACAGTGTATATCACTTTGGCCAACCCCATTCAGGTGGCAGGTGCATTTTGAGCATTTTCATCAGTCCTGAGAGTTTCATCGTTTCACCTCGAATATTACGGAAGATACGGGGGTTTTTCCATAAGAAGTGAGACAAATTCGGATTTTTCAGGACTGAAATTTTTTCCAGAAAAATGTGTAATCGTGGTTAGTTGGTAGTTCTGATCACGAATCTGAAGGAATTTTGAGCCTATTTTGCCCCCTAATATGTTTTACCGTAAAAATGGGGTGTCCCATCGCGAGTGGCAGACAATGTATATCACTTTGGCCAACCCTGTTCAGGTGGTAGGTGCATTCTGAGCATTTCTATCAGTCCAGAGAGTTTCATCGTTCTATCCCGGATATTACGGAAGATACGGTGGTTTTTCCATGAGAAGCGAGACACACTGTCTGTTGCATGCTGCATGTTATTTTGATTTGATTTCCAAAAGTCACGAAGTCTTTTTTTGGAGACAACTGGGGAAACTGTCATTATCAATCAAACATGACCTGCATGTTATCACCATTAGTGAATCAATTGGATTTTAACTCACAATGTTTGGAATAGCAATTCAGGTTATTTTTTCAAATAGATTTACCAACGAACATAATATTCTCATTTATTTCCAATTAGACTCCAGGACCGCTGTTCTTGAATATGATAGAAAGGAATACTCACTTTAACTTTCTATCACTTCCAAAAACATTATTTGTCAAATGAGGGAGTGAAAATAAGAAAACCAAATTGAAATTTTGCCAAACTCCACGATAGGTCAACCACTAATCCAAATGCTGAAAATTGTGATAGCACATAACTCGTGTTTCTACTTGACATCAAACACTCCAATAACGCTGTATGTTATTCCTTATTGATGGTATTTCCCTTCTCAAATATACTACCACGCACAACCCAAAATACCGAGGTCATAACCTCCCAAGCCATTTATTGTGCTTTCAGGCGCTTTGAACGAGGTTCACCAGTTGCTCTCTTTTCGGATAATGATCATTTTGATTCCAAATCGAAGTAATGGATCCATGTTCCATCCTTTGTAAGATATCGACCCAAAAATTTCGGTTTTTCATGTTTAAATATGGTCAAACACTGCTTAGATTCATCAAGACGTTCGTGTTTTTGGTCAACAGTGAGCTCGCGCGGCACCTACTTCGAACAGAGCTTTCTCATAGTCGAATACTCATGCAATATAAAGCCAACTGTTCTTTTTATATCTTACATACAATGTCAGCTAACTCATGCAACTCTGTTTATCGATCATTTAAAACAATTTTGTGGAATTTTTTTTATGTTTTCTGGTGTTACTGCCTCATTTGGACGTCCACTGCATTGTGCATGATCGGTGTCTCATACGATCACGTTTGAAGTCAGCAAACCAACGTTTAGTTGTTGTTTCTAATGAAGCGGGGTCCTTATAACACTTTTCAAACCATTGATTTACTTGAATGATATTTTTCCCCATCAAGAAGCAGTGTAAAATTAAAACACGAAATTGTTTTTAATCCATTGTTTTGAAAATAACAAAAATTGTGTCACTCTTAGCAGAATAACTCACAAACGTATGAGTAGAATATCATGGATTTCAACAGTTTTCTTTTGAGGGTTAGTACTGACTGAAAAAGCGGTGAATGTAATGAGACTAGCACCATCTATGTGTTGGGCCCGAGAATTTTCTGCCCATTTAGTATCTAGTCGTGTCATGTAGGTCGGCCAATCGTCTGTTTTTGCTCTATTCATATATACGAACATTGTTGTTGCAAATGTTGTTACTGATGTTTCTTGTAATTCAGGTGATAAAATGTATCCAACTTGAAAATTGATATTTTGTTTTCATATCGATGCATTTAGCTGACTATTTATGAATGGACTATAGATGAATGGATCATGTTGTTTGCTTACTTGGCTAAATAATAAAGTTTTTGTTGTTGAAAAATTAAAATTCATTTTGAGTTCTTGTGGTTTTACTATTGATAATACTTAAACCTATTCTGTGATATAGTGAAAACGCTTTTATTATTATTGAGAATGAAACCTTCAAAGGGTGTGAAATTGCTTATATTTATTTCTCTCTTTTCCTCTCTTAATCTCTCAACCACTCTGTATATTTTCAACTACTTTGGAAATATTATAAATTATGCGATAATTGATGCAGAAATCTTACCGACCATATACAGTATTAATGTTTGTCAAATATCAGCCGCTAATGAAAACTAATCAGTAGAATTAACTAACAGTTAACAATGTTTCAAAGAATCGTTGCTAGTTGAATATGTGATCTATGTAGTGGAGCTTTCATATTTTAAATCAGGTTATGTTCGTAATGTTGAACTTTTTCAAATTTTCAACATTTATTTCCTCTGTTATTTGTCGTCTAAATACCACTGAAAAATTATATTTATACGACCGGTTTCGGGTTTGATCCCATTATCAAGTATAAAACTTGAGTCAGTATGATTTCACTATTCTATACAGATGAGAAGGTTTGAATTGAAAAGATCTATTCGATCCTACATAGCATCTCGCTAGGGTCTATTGTGGCTCAAATAAATTCAAACTTCGCCAAAAAAACAACTCCTTCATTTGGTGATTTTTCAACTCAGCTGAGAAGAGTGGAACTTTGAAAACCTGATTTGCTCTGCGAGAGAAAAGGCACAAAGTAAATGCTACCAAGGCCTGAAGTTCCTTATATGGTAAAATCTACTCCAAGGTTGACAGACCATGGTTTTTTCCTCAGTCTTGTAAGGATCTGATCGACAATCTGCAATTATCTTGATCAAGTTGCCTTATCAAACATATTAGCGTTTTCATTTTTTAAATTATTTTAAATAGGGTATTGTTTAAAAAAAAATGTTTAATTTCTCAGGAAAACTTCCGAATATTGCCTATCTAAATTTATTTTTACAATGTGTCCTTATGTAGTAATCAGTAAATCCAATACTATCATTTTGAAAAGCTATATAGGATGCTATTTGGTATTGGTCCGTCATTGTTATTTATAATATTATCATATTTACTTATTTCTACACTCTCATAGGCATCTAGTTGTCTATGGAATGGTTTCGTTGCAAAATATGATGGGCAACTGCTGATTTTTCAGGTCTTCCATATTTTAAGTGTGCTATGTGTTCCTTATATCTTACTTTAATAGATTTTTCTGTCGGTCCATAATATTTTGCATCGCAGTCCTCACATTCAATTTCGTAAATTCCAGGCTTTTCAGAATTCTCGACTTTGTCTTTTGTCTTGTTTTAAAAACCACCTTCATACCTGGTTCCTTGAAAATCTTTCCAAAGTTCTTCGTTCTTGGTTTATGTCCTTTCTGAAAGTTGAGATTTCGTTCATTCTCAACGTAAACTTCTTCCTTATTAAGTCATCTGCAATACCCCTCGAGAAATCAACTCGGTTCATAACTCAATTAAAAAGTGCGCTTATACTAACTGATACTAACTTTAACAATTGAACAAGCAAAAAAAGAAGCTGATACAGTTATCATTCAAACAGCAATTGACCTTGCAGAAAAAAATCCAGATGAAAAAATTGTTGTAATTAGGACCGACGTTGACCCTGCCGT